AATGCTCTTTAGCTTTCAGTTTCCTGTCATCTCAGTGCTTTATTAGTTCTTTGTTCATTACACTAAGAAATGCACCCATAAGTGACAGATGTCAATGGGCACACTGACATGTGCTGTTGAACACATTAGCCAGTTGTCAACCAAGTGACCATTTCTGTTCATCACTGCACAGAACTCTGTTACTAATGTCAAAACATGCCAGATAGGGGCATCTTGGTGTCACTTCTTGAGTCTGGGATTTTACAAATGAAGCCATTTAGGAATTAACATTTGAGCTGCTTAACTTCGCATGTTACCATTTTTGTCCCACAAGTAACACCAGAACATTCCCATGCATGAATCTTGAATGTTATTCTAATCAGTTGATACATCTGGGCAAGAAATAAAATACTGGGAAATACATCTTCCCAAAGACAATTCCAGAAAATAATTGCCTAATTTGGTGGTCCCTGTTCTTTCAGGTGGGATTCCATGAAGGGAGAGCCTGGGTCTGTGTTTGGCATGATGCTGTGAGATTGTCAGCAGCTGCTGAGCCAAGGCAGAGTCCGGCTCCCTCCTGCACAGTTACACTGGCTGTGCAGGGCTAAGAGGAGAAAGGATTAGAGAGTAGTAACTCTACAAAGTAACATTAAGCAGAGAGGGTTTAGAGTGCGTAGGTGTGTTAAGTCAGAGTAAGAATTTTAAACTTATACTTCTTTTCATGTTTGCAAAGGGATGAAACTTCAGCTGGTAAAAATGTAAAATCCTGCAGTACGCAAAGTATGACCCACTACTTAAAAAGAAAATGTTTATATTATATTGGCTGTTCTCATGTGATGGTTTGTCTTCTAAAATACCAAGATGATGCTTGGCTGCTGCTCAATTATTAAGATGCAGCACAATCCCCGTCTCGTACTAGTGAAGCCAAGGTTGCACTTCTGGGGTTTTCCTTTGTGTTTGTGTAGGTGAATGAGAAAGGGAACCAGCAACAGCAAAGGGCACATCTGAGAGGAAAGACTATGTGCCGTAGGACAGGGACAGAGCAGTAGAAGATAAATTATGAGACTGAAAGTACAGCAAATGACCAGTCAATACTTTGGAAAGCACAAAGCAAAATCTCTAACTCCTACAGTTAATAAATTTATGAATTAAACATCTAAATCTAAATAGCTGAAGGAATATCTACTGACATTAAAAACTATGAGATGAAAGAAAACTTCTCAAGAATTTCTCACAATTTCCAAAAAATTTGAAAGTGAGGGACCCTTTCTTCTCTCTAGTGTGACTGCCTGGATCCTATGTAATTAAAACAAATGTCATCACTGAAACTCTCCAGAGCTGCTTTGTTTTCTCTTTCTGACTCTTTACTGTGTGCCTTCCCTGCTACGTCCTACAAATTCAAATTTAGTATTACCAGTTTTGTGGACAATCAAGAAGCTGTACCATTGGTTCATTGCTGCACTAACATACAGCTTGTGAACAGGACACTGTAAACACTGAAACATCCTTAATAGTTTTGGAAAATTATAATTAGAAGCAAAAGTGTTTTAGGTTTGGCAGTGTTGTTTCTGAATATTGTCCGCCCTGCTACTGCCCAGTATTGTTTCTGAATGCTGCCTGCCTTGCTGGTGTCCAGCACGGTGTCTGCCTATGATTTAGCACTGACATACAATCTTCAAAAAGGGACGTTCCCATGAAATGCAACATTGCCCTTAGGTCACATCAGAGTAGAAGAATAAAATAGAAAAAGGAAAGAAAAAAACATTCTGTCCTTTGCCAGGTTTCCCCAGTGGGCTCTAATTATAACCGCAGTTTATTAGAGCACGTTTCAGACCACACTTTAAAGGGCCTGCTGTGCTTGTGTGGAGTCCTCGTGGCTTCAGCAGAACTCCCCTCATAACAGCCTGCCCACACGTCATCAGTTGCAATAGAGGGGGCTTAGTAAGGGCTGCTGCAGGTTTAGACAATGGATGCTTTATAGATATCAAAAACTGTTTGGAGCAAGCAGAAGTGAGGACATTACAGAAACACTCTCCCACCCCTATATTGCCACTGACATGTATTAATTTGATCCTATGCAAAAAATGCATACATTCTCATTGTTACAGAGTACCAGGTTGGAGGTATTGTACATTGTCTCATCCAGACTGGAGCTCTCTGGTCAGGTGCCTTATCAGGACTGTCACCAAACTGTGACTGGCCTGAGTCATTCACTTCTCTTTGTGTGTCTCAGTTTCCCATTGAGGAGGTTACTGATATACTGTCAAAACACGTAGAAATGCACAGGGTAAGTATCTATAACATCTGCAACCTCTCTCCACAGTTTCCTTATTTTCACTCCCAATTATTCTTGACTCCCAGGTATTTTTGAGTCATTATAATTTTACTAAACTTTCTAGCTGTGAAGTGTAGATTATTACTTGGCTAGCAGACTTTTGGTGACTTTTTAATAAGGCAACACTATCTTTGAGAAATGTATTATAAGATCTGCTGTTAATTAAGCTACTACCTCAAAAAATAATTGTGGTTTCATTAGAAGGTAGGCTCATCTTACAAGGAGTAAAAAGATAAATCTTTGCAGCCATAGTATTGTAGGATTGAACAATGTACCTCCATCAGAATTGGAGATTCATGCAGATGTTTCCATTTGTTTCCCTTTTCTACTCTTTTCTGCTCTTTGTTAAAACTCACCTATCCTGACAGTTTTAGGACTGATGTTCTGTTTGCCTGCCTTTGAAAAAGTACTTTTTTCCTATTCCTCTCCTTTTGACCCCTTTCTTCCTTTCTATGCAATAGGGTCAAGTCTGCATTTAGTAAGCATCTCCACATGTCTTCTTAACACATGGCAGTGCAGAAGATATGCTCAAAGCTGTTTACCCTCAGAGGGGCAGAAAGGGCTAGTGACAGAGATGGCCTGTTTATGTGTGAAGCATTTAGTTGTGCAAAACATAGATGACAAACCAAAAGGATATTGATTTTTTAGGAACAGGTCCCACGTGAAGCAGCCATTCATTAAGCAGAAAGGATTTCTGAGATGTAAGTCGGAGATAAAGCTTATATTTTAGGTCAAATTCAGCACCTTTTCTAACAGTGATGGTCAATTTGCTCTTCCTTCCTTTTCTCCTCCAAAGCCTTGATGCTGACCCCTACCCAGGCTTAGCAGTGCTGTACTCAGATGATAACTTCACTGAGATCAGCTTAATTGAGAGTGAAGTACTATTCAGCTCGTGTGTCAGAGCCAACAGCAAGCCCCAAAAAGTGAAAGATATGTCTGGTTTTGTTTTCAATACAGGAAGAAGAAGTTCTCCAGATCTAGAGATGCAGAGAGACAGAAGAAAAAAGGGTGAACTGTCTGCTTAGTAAAGAAAAGATAGCACAGAGGCAGATAAACTTAAGGCATTGGATGTAGCAGCTTTAAGAGATTCAGGATTAGCAGACAGTATGGAGACATTTGCCAGCTCTATGTTTTGAAAGCAATCCCTTTTTGTGCTTAAGCTGCTGATAGAAACAAGTTTCTTTGCTGCCAGTTACATGGTAAGGAAGGCAGTTGGCAGGAGATCTGTGCCTCCTTGCTCTGTAAAGGGGAGTCTTTGTAGCTGAATGACACTTCTGGACAAATTGCACTCTGATGACCTCGCACAACTCCGTACCTTGAGAAGGGGAAGTCAGGCTGGAGCCTAACGTGTCTACAGATTCAATCTTTGGGGATAGGTGATGCAGAAATGAATTGAGTTTTACATCAAGCTGAAGCACAGACGAGATGAATAAGAAGAGTTCTTTGTAGACAGGAAAGGGATCTCCTGACTACGGAAAACCACCAGGAATTTACAAGAAAATTATCAAATCTTATTGGTGCACAGTAGAACAATCCTTCTTAAAGACATGTTTCTACTCCTTTTCAGAAAATGCAAATGAAATATCACCCCATGGCAAAGTTTAAATTATACCATTCACCTTGTTTTGCTCCCATGACAGTCCCTCCACTCCTGTGAGGTCTTTGGCACCAGTTCCCAGCCTGGCCTGACGTCTTCTTCCATAACTGCTAGCAGCTGTCCACAAGCAGGACATAATACTGACCATAATCACGCCTGGAACTGCCAGTTCAGACCCACAATGCCACTTAAATGCACCTCTTTCACTGTAGGTGTAACTGCCCAACAGCTTATTTCCCACCTGGGACATCCAAATGTGAAAATATGCTGCTTCACTACCAGTGGGTTTCTTTACCTGGCTGTTACTGAAAATGTGACCAGCAGGCAGTACAACCCTCCCTCTCTACAATATTCAACCTCTGCCCTGCACAGCCAGTTTGGGACAACAGTTGCTGCTGTTGTGGTATAACTCCAGTTAGCAACTAAGTACCACTCAGTTGCTCTCCCACCCCCCATCCCCTGCCACAGCGGGATGGGGAGGAGAATAGGAAAGGAGGTAAAATCTGTGGCTTGAGATAAGAACAGTTTACCAACTTAAATAAATGTAATAATAATAATAATAATAATAATAATAATAATAATAATAATAATAATAATGGGAGACAAAAAAAGACAGAGAAATAAACCCCACAAAAAACCTCCCAAACCCCCAAGTAATACACAGTAGAACTGTTCACCACTCATTTACCAAAATCCAACCAGTTTCTAAGCAGCACCCGCTGGCCAGCTTTCCCCCAGTTTGTGTACTGAGCATGATGCCCTATGGTATGGAATTTCCCATTGGCTGGTTTAGATCAGCTGTTCCAGCTGTGTCCCCTTCCAAATTCTTGTTCCCCTCCAGCTTTCTTGCTGTCACGGCGTGAGACATTGAAAAGTTTTGACTTCGTATATGCACTACTTAACAACAACTAAAAACTTTGCTGTGTTATCAAGATTATTCTCAGGCTAAATCCAAAACACTACACTATAGCATCTACTAGGAAGGAAATGAACAGCCAAGAACAGGCAATCATTTCAGGCAGTGACTTAAGAGCAATTGCTGAATATGCCATCTTCACTTTAAAGGAAGAATTTTGCTTTGTCTCTTACCTGTTCTGTAACCAGTGTTGTTGAGGTACACAGCGAAGGTGCGAGGCTCGTGAGTAGCCTGCCATGAGGGAGAAGAGCAGTTTTCGTTGTTGGTGTAAATGTTGTGGTTGTGCACATACTTCCCAGTCAGCATCGAGGAACGAGATGGGCAGCACATGGGGGTAGTTACAAAGGCATTGATGAAAGAGGCCCCTCCATTCTCCATAATCCTCCTGGTTTTATTCATCACTTGCAAGGACCCTGCAATAAGAGGTACTGATCACCACTGTGCTGTAAAAGATAGCTTGAACATATTGGCTGCTATTATGCTGTTAAAAGTAAAGTGTCAGTGATTAGCTTGCTTCTGAACATCAGTGTGCTTCACTCTGCAGCTCTGGTAATTTTAGCAGAAAAGATCACATTTTTACTATACAAACAAAAATACTTTTAAGGATTCCAGAAAGACAGATTTTTTTTTTAATTTTTTTTATTTTTAGACCCCAAAACAAAGTTAAAATATGGACTAATCTAGAAATAGTGTCAAATCTGTATCAAATTTATAGGTGAATAGTTCTCCAAATGCAGCTGTAGAAAAGCAGTATGCTACACAGACTGAATTATTACTCAATATGCCAGTAAAATACGTAAAATACTGAGACTACCAATGAAAATGTTAATATTCTTTCCATTTCATCAGATGACAGACGAAAGAGAAATAGAGATAGGAAGGGAGTAAAGGAGGGAGGGAGTAAGAGACAGAGGAAGGAAGGAGAGAATTCAGTAGCAATTTTTCTAAAGGAAAGTTTCTGTGGACACAAGATCAGCATGTCTGGTTCTGATACTAAAGAACTGTGCTCAAAATAATGTATCATGTAAAATTGTATGCAAAAATGCAGCATCTTTCTCAAGAAATTGCACTGATCCTGTTTAAAGAACAAAGATTTTTTGCATCCTTCAAAGCATCTTCATGAACTGCAGGGTGAGAGAGGCAGAGCTTGCAGGTTTCTGACAGCAGAAAGGCTGAGCAGCGCAGGACAGAGTCTGTCAGTATTTGCTGACAGCTGTCAAAGTTTGTACTTTATGTTATCCAACAGAGCAGAGATTGAAGGGTGGGGGTGAACTGTGGATATGTCAGTATGTGCCTAGGAAACAATTTTGTGAATTGCAGTACTTGCACAATGCTGTTGGTAAAAAAAGGTTTCTGGAATTTTACTTTCTTTTATTTTCTTTGGTTTTTTGCACAGTTGACTGTCCTTTACATTTAAATCTATTAATTCCTCTGATACTACAGGAATTTTTCTGGATTGTTATGTTTACGTTGCTTGAAAATCAAATTAAAAAAAGTTCCAAAGCAATTGCAAACCTGCCTGCAAAACCATAAAACTCCCAAGAAGACTCAACTTTGGATGTTAGCAGTAAAATCCTAAAAGTTATCTTCTAGTTAGTGCTCTTTTTTGGTTTTAGGCTAATGAGTCAGTGCTGAATATGAAGACTTTTGTGTAAAAAAAATTGTTTAAAAAAGGGAAGAGGCAGTAGGGTCTTCAGCATTTCATTTAAAATGCCAGGGTCTCTGTCCTTAAGGATACATTTAATACTGTGTAGGAAAGTCACCATCACTTTGGACTCTTTGTCTTTCATAGCCCTTATTTTCTAAATGCAGAATATCCACATTTGTGCTTTTCTGAACCCCGTGTGCTTAGGGATATAGAAGAGTAACTGAGAGGTCCCTGAACACAAAAGGTCTCCATTTACATGAGTAGGAGCATTTCACTGAATCGTTAAGTAAAAGACAAATGAGAGATCATCCTTATTCTACATGCTTTTATCTTGGACCTCAGGCTGACTTTTTAGTTTTTGTTTTGTTTTGTTCTGTTCTGTTTTGTTTTCACCAGAGCTCTTCCATTTTGAAAAATCACAGTTTTTTTTCCTGAGATCTCAGCTGTAAAGTGCTTCGAGGTGCCCGGATAGAAAGAGGCTATTCAGGTACCCTAATGCACAGTAACTGCAGCAGAGCTGAACTGCACTTTCCTGCCTCCATGTATTATAAATGAGTAGCTGTTAGAGTGCTTCCTCATTCCTCCAGCTGGTCAGCCCTCTGCTCTTGCAAACCTGCTGTTTATGACTAAGTTTTCCCTCCAGGTATGCACTTACTGACACTGATAATAGATTAAGCCCCTCTGGAAATTCTGGAACAGGCACTTCAAAGCAGGTGAGACTTCCTCATTTGGAAAACAAAACACAAGCAGGAGACAAAACTTGCTGATATAAGTTAAAATCCTTTGCTGTCTGTGGCTCTCCTCACAGCTTGTGTTCTTTACCATCTGGCCCACAGTCTTCAGGGCACAACTACTCAGGTGCTGTCTGTCAGCAGGACACTCGTGCTCTACATGGCCGGCTGGGGAGCACCTGAGGGCAACCAGATAGCTGGGAATGGCCACTTTGGACACAGAAGTTAGTCAGTTTTGTCAGACAAGAAGTTCAGTGTCACTTCTCAGTCTATTCTCATACCTCAAGAAATATGTTTGGCAACCAAGGTATCAAGTCTTTAAAGTTGCTACGGATTTTCATCACGGGTGGGCATCTCTACAAAGGGACATTTAGGAGCCATCCTGTCTTTATAGGGGTTCTGTGCAAGGCCCCAGGAAGGTAATGGACTTTTTCAGATCTCAGCACATACCCCCATTTTTTCAGCTTATGTCTTTTAGTGCTCTAGTTCTAGGGAAGATGGAAATCACACCAGGCAAATTATGCCTGATGTGATGTATTTAGATGATGCTGTGATCTCTTTACCCAGTGCTCTGTTCAGTAGCTGATTTATACAGATTTCACTGGGTGGTGCATTAGGCTGTAAAAATGGGTCAAAAACACTGAAACTACCAACATACTCATTAGTTTTTACACCTATCTGACATTATGCAAGATATTTTTTACAGTGAGGACTACAAGAGTGATTGGGGTGTCATATTTCGAGGTACTCATGTGTGCAAATAATAGAGAAATAGGAGGACAGGGGAAGAGACCAAAAAGCAAGCAAAATGCTGGACTGAAGAGGATATGGGGCTGACCCCAGTGGGAGCTGGGGCTACTGCCCTGAAGAGCCACAGCATGCTGTTTGCAGGAGGGAAGAAGCTCTGGGTTCTGGGAGCTTTGCCTTGAGCAAGATGCCTCTTCATTGGGCAGTGAGTGTGAGCCCTCTACCCTCATGATCTTGGTAGGGTAAAGACAGTGCACAGTGGCACAATTTAAGAAGTAAAATACCTTTTGAGCCCAAGTATTTGCTGAGTTCCTTCAAGAGCTGTGGGCCAGGCTGCTTCACACAGCTTAAGCTGCAATCCACCAGCTGATCTAGAATATCTTTCCTCCTTGCATAGATAGGAAGTGGCTGGAATTGTGGGGCAATTTGTTGGTTTTATCTAATCAAGTGGATGAGACAGCATCTCTGCTGAATATTTTTGCACTCAAAATGCAAAACTCAGGGGGATGGTGCAGATCAATAGGAAGATGTACATACCCCTATGGCTTGAGCACTAACTGAATGCAAATTCCCTGCCTCTTGCAAATTTTACTTCAGATGACTGCTCTATATATCTGTTGCACTTGTCAGATGAATATTTTTGTTCAATGACTATACAAGCTCTGGAGACAAATCGTTTCTTATTGAAGTCTATAATGCACCTTATATGCTTTTATGTTAAAGCATTCCTTTAGAATAGCTTTTAGAAATGTTCGTGCTAGGAATACAATAGCAAATAATCCATATTCAGTGACTTTCAGTCTTGTGATTTTTGGATACCAATGCCTAAGTTTTATTCTGTTTGTGGCAGAAAGTGCTACTTCCCACTGACCTTTGAGAAATTTAAGACTTTTCTCAGGAATCAATGAAGAGCAAGAGGAAAATTCACACATGGAAAACAGTTTGGCTTTATTTTTCAAATAAGCAGAATGATTTATTAGCACAAGTGCGAATAATGCAGTACAGTAAATCTTGGGGCTGAATGCTGTTTCCTGTGAAATGATCTATGAAAAGGGGAAACCTGTGTGTTCATTCAAGGCAGTGGGAATGCACACACACCCAGGCTATTGCTCAGCTGCCTGCTAATAGGAGCCAGAGTGCCCTGTGAACATTCAGAGCAGCTTTCAAAGAGAAGAGCTCTGCAGTATGAACAAAGTGACTTGCCACATCCTTCCTCCTTTTTCACCACTCGCAAACCTTCTCGCAAGACTGAGGACAGCAAGTTGGTGACGCTGTGTTCAGAGATGTGTGTCTGCTGACCTACCTATCTTCCCCAGTGCCCTGAGTGCCCTGGAGAGAGCAGGTTCTTTCAGACCACAAAAAGGAAGACTTGACTTGACCCTTTTAACAAAATTTTTCAGAACAATTCCACCAAGAAGAAATGCACTCCCATTGTAAGAGCTGTATTTTAGACCAAAAATAGAACTGGGAACAGCTATTAATTATGCAGCATGGCTAAACAGAGCAGAGGTTTGAAAGAGTGAAAAATAAAAAAAAAAGATAAGAATCACTCAGATATAAGGGCCTGTGTTTGGAGCTCTGCTGCATAAAAGCAGCAACCCTCAGTCATGAAATATAGTTTATTAATTATCTCCTCAGAACACTGAAGGACTATAAAATTATTATTGCATCATAGCAAATACAAAAATGCTAGCAACCAAAGAACTGCTTTTAGATACAGACCATATTTTGTCTACAGTCTTCTGTCTGAAAGTGTGTGATTTTAGAACAAATGAAGTTTTCTGGAATGAAGCATTTTTTATTTTTCAGTGTCATATGGCATTTTGTATAGAAATTCACTATACTTCTACTAAAAATATGTCTCTCATAAAAAAAAAAAAGCTAAGAATGCAAGATTTAATTTCAACTTAATTTGCCATTTTTTTCACCTTTTTGATCTCACAACCCAAAATATTTGCTTGGGGGTAACCTAAAATGATCCTCATTCTCTCCTTGATTTTTCATTTTGGGCAGTGAACCAAAAAATCAGTTATATGCATAACTACCATTAATATCTTTCTAACTTACTTAATGGAAAACATTCAAAGGCCTCCTGGAACATCATCTAAGTGTTTTAACTTTTTCCACCCTAAGAGAAATATGTGAAAATCACTTCTGACTGGTATGTGCTCAGATATTTAGTATACTTGTGAAAGCAAAACTACCATGTTTTTATACATACAGCATAGTTCTTAAAACAGATGGATTTTAAACACTTCAGTAATTCACACAAATATTAAGATTATTAAATCCTCTAACTGGACCAGTTTTTCTGTGTGGATAAGTATGTCAGACATGCATCCCCGTGACAAATATATGGAGATTCAGACACCTATACAGTGCTGAGGGAAATGCTGGCCTCATAAGGCTCCAATTTCTAAATGCTACAAAAAGTCATAGAGTGAGAAAAGGCTTTTGATGCAAGTTTTTTACACATATGTCCTTGCATGCATTATTAAATAATTTTGTTTTGCTGATTAAAGCTTTCCATGGTGGATTTTGGTAAGCATATATTTCCTAAAGTCTATAATTAAATACGACAAATGCCATTTAATAATACTGTTAACTCATTTTCCAAACTTGTCCCACATTCTGATACTATTCCAGGACCATCAACTTCCCTGAATTTAAAGTTCTTTCTCCTTGGCATAAACTATTGAAAGACACATGACGAATGTAGTAGCAAAGAACAATGATTTCTCACCTAGCTCCACATCTTGATCATCTGTGAGTACAAGGATGATATTTGGTCTGATATTCTTTCGCTCCTGCTGCACACGTCCTCTGAACCTCGGGGACTTGATGGTGGAACAGTGACTTGTCAGCATTTCAGTACTGAGCACTGCCAACATGAGTGCAAACCAAGAAGGCTTCATAGTAGTTCCAGTATTTCAATGAAAACACTGATCCAGAAGTTCCTGAACTCTAGTTTTCAAGACCTGTAGGGAAGAAAAGAGATTCTATTCAAGCAATAAATAAACTTCCAGTCATACATTGAAAGGATGACACTTAGGGAAGTCAAGCCTGACACATACCATTTAACATGATTATAAGCCATATTGTTGAATGAGAGCTTTATTCTGTCATTTTCTAAGAATAAACTCGGTCATTCTGCAACTATGCTCTCTCAAATAATTTTTGCTTGAAGTCATGCCTACATTTTGTATAGACATGACTTCTGGTAAATTCCTCACAGTGCTCCTTCTCCTACACCCCACACTTCTTTTTATGCAGCTTGGTTCCTTACATTCAGTACCTGGGCGCAGTAAAAGATTGCCGGGATGCAGACGTGTTCAGAACATCTGTAGGAGGAGCCCTGTGAGAAGGAGAAAGCAGAAGGCTTGTCAGTCAGAGACCTCAGTATTGTGGCTGTTGCTTCAAAGTCTGCAGAACTGTTTGTTACAGCTTCTTTCTCTGTCCTGAAAGAAAAGTGTGAAAAAAATTTGCATTCTCCATGGCTTCCCTACTTAATTTAATACCATACCTATGCAGGGGTTGGATGGCACCTTGTCTGTGAGGGATAAAGGGCATGTATGTCACATCATCAGACACAGGTGCTTTTCCAATATTTATAGTCAGATTTATAGTGAGATTCTGAGAACAAGCATTAATTCCAGCATATGACACCTGGAAGCACTAACTGTTTTAGGTTAACCCACCTGCATGAGAGACTAAACCCTTAAAAAGCAGAGGGGAGAGCACGGCTGTCATTTGCAATCTGCATGGGATCACTGTGTGAAAAGTCATCTTCCCACTGACAAGAAAGCTCATATTAAATGACGGTCCATATGATCTTACCCAGCATTGTGAAAGAGCACAACCATCCCTCAATCAATCAACGACAGAGCTGAGCGCCTCATCCATAATGCACAGTACCTCTGCCACAGCCTCGTCCTTGATACTCCGCTTCCAGACTTGTCTCAGTGCCTTATCAGAGCCCCCTCTCCGTGCCTGTCAGTCAAACAGCCTTGCTTTTGTGAGACCTGCTGCAAGCACAGAGGCTTGGCTTTGCTGCAGCACATTTAAACCAGTGATTGAAAATGACTGATTGGTCTGGAGAGGAAGGAGTAGCCACTTACACTTTGACATTTTTGGCATTACTGACTGAAGCTCTGCAAAACCCGTCTGTAACACAAGGGAAGGGAGGGAATATCTGGGGGCAAAAAGGAAGGGGCTGGGAAAGAAACCACAGAGTCATGCCTGTTCCCTCCAGGGTATTGACCTGCCACATACATTTCTTCTGGTTTTATTCTGGGACTGTGGATAAAAGCACGGCGATATCGGTCAATTAAAAATAACCTCACAAAACCACCCAAGCCCAAGAACAATCAAGAAGTTTGCCCAAGGGGAAGACCGCATGGGAACCAGGGTGCACCTTATATAATTAGACTGGAGCATAAATCACGAGATCTGTGCACCCACACCTGAGACTTCAGACATGCAACATGAGCCACAAACAGATTAATAAACAGAAATAATGAGAGCAACACAGAAGACAAAAGGGGCCTCCAATCACTCACCTAAAAATGCGTTAATAGGGAGATGCTCTAAATTTCAGGGGAAGAAACCACGGCAGAGGGAGGGGATGGGGCTTGGTGCTGGACTGCTAGAAAAAGAATCGTGTTCTTGTTTCCACATACACCTTTTATTTTAAGCTTCGCAAGTTAAACAGTTTCATGCTCCTCACTCTGGCAGGCTGTAATTACACCAGAAGAGTGTGAACGTCTTTAAAAGGAAAACCCAAGTGTCTGTGGCAGAGAAATCTTGTCTTTCATTGTCTCTGCACCAACCAGCACTCCAGCCTTCCGCTAACATTACAGCACTGCAAAGTCAATACAGGGGATTGCCATCGAACAGCAAATGCTCTTTCAGCGATTACACAACATTCAGATAAGTAACTGGAAGTCTGTAATTAGCCAGGACGGACTTTTAAAAATAGTTCCATTTCCATGTATATGTTCTTAAGTCACATAAAATCTGACAAGGGCCCCAAAGACCAGGGTTACCAGGGAAGTCAGCTTCCTTCTGACAGACACCAGATACATGCTCTTGGTGCAAAAGCAGAAATACAATGTCTCTAGATGTCTGATCTTTAAATAGCGAAACTTTGACTCACATCACAAAGCACGAAAGGCTATGTGAAGTGACACTCAATGTTTAGTTTCTTACCTCAGTTGTACAGCAAACTTTTTCAGACAATGTTGACCCAGAAAGTGCAGTCATCTTGACTGTGCTGAGCAAACATTGGCACCAACGTGTTTCAATAATCCTCCACCATATGAAACTGCAAGTCCCTGACAATTACACCTCAGTGCTAATAAAATTTATGCTAATCCAAATGGACATTAACAAGTATTTTTCATTTCAACCTGTCTGGTCTCTACTAGTATTTAAAAAAAAATACCTTGCCTCTAGCATGTTTGAGGCACCTTAGGCAGGTCTTTGCTAGAAATAAGAATATGAAAGTTTCTCTTCCCGCTCTAATATTTTCGTTCTTGATGGACAAAGGAAAATATCAGGACAGATTTATACATATAAAATTATTTATCCAAGTTTCATTGGATGGCTCTCACACAAGAGCACAGTAATGCTGTGTTTTGTTCCTCATCTTTCAGTTTTGCATATGGCAAATCTTTATTAAAAGGTGATCTTTGACAACTTGTGCTTTTACAGCCTGTTTCCCAGACCTAGAAGGAAATGAAGTAAAGAAAACTATCAAAATACAGGGTTAATAGGGAAGACAAGGCTGCAATGTTTGTGTTGGATACTGGCTGGTAGCATGTAAGTGCCCCTGCAGATACTGTAATTTGTCTTAAGAAAGAGACAAAAATAGGAGAAATTCTAAAAAACACCTTTTCAAAGTTACATGGGGTAGCAAACTGTAATATTTTGTGTTAAGAAATCAAGATGGCACTGGAATTTTTTTTTTTTTTTTATCTAGCCAAATAAACAAGTCCTGTTCTAACTTCTATATGGGAATTTTAGAGTATATTTTTTCTTATAGAAGATACCTATGATAACCAAATTGTAGTTAGTAAATAATTGAAACCAGAGGAATCAAAATGAACTGGTTTTTTTTTTTTTTTTCCCACAGGAGCAGAAATGCATAGTTTGCAATCACCTTTCAAGGAATAAAATCTTAAAACTTGCACCTTTAGTTGTTTCTATGCAGCTAGTATTATAACATACAGTTCAGGGACTTATTGGCATCGAGAATTAATTACCCATGAAACTTGAATTACACTGGAAGAGCACTGCAAAGAAAGGCTACACTTTGTGTGGTGTGGCATAAAAACCTATGAGACTTTATTTCAATGTCTCGTAAGTGAGTATCTTTCAGTAATTCAGAAGAAAAGCAAAAGGCAGAACAGTATCTTTTGAAACTCTGTAGACCTGTTACTCATTTTGATCCAGAATTGTTCAAGATTTTTTATGGCATTGACCAAAAGTGCTTAGTTTGGAACACAGCAAAAGGCAGCCAGTATTCAAAAAAGAGCATTTGCCACTTTGTTCTTTTGTCCACATTTTCACCCAGTTCACTTAAAATGCTATTTTGTGTTTGGCCAATAAAATCTGTCCAGAGTCATGCACTTTGTTTATGAAACAGGCATTGAGTATGCACATGAATATGCCATTATAAGTTTTAAAGATATATGAACTTATTAATATTTAATAATCTTCAAATGTGTCTCCCACATGTCATTGCAGAGAGAATTTAGCTTGTATGAACACATTTTCTGTCTGTAAATCTGACATCTAATGCGGGGATAGTGAGTAATGATACTGGACATGTGTCCATCTCCAGTACCATGTGCTATGCAATGCCCCACATCACTGATTCATGACTAAGGGGTAACAAAGAGCAATCAACTTTCTTTTCTCTGCATTAGTGTTTTCTTTTGAGCATGAACATTGAGGCATTATATTATCCAAAGTCATAGGTTAAGGTCCACTGTCCTAGTGGCCTTTCCTTTGAAAAATAAATGGATCAGACAATAAAGGAAAGAGTGGTAATAATAACAATAATACTAGTAATAATGTGAACTGTAACTGTGGAGCTTAAGAACCACAGAATCATTAGGGCCGGAAGAGAACTCTGGAGATCATCTAGTCCAAACTTCCTGCCATGGCAGCACAGCCCTCAGGTGTATCAGTCGCTACCCCCAGGCTTGCATTATCAGCAAACATGAGAATGAGAATTCTGGCTTCTATTCCCCAGATATAAGTAGTAAATATGTCCAGTGAATTGAGAATGTAAAATATCACAGGGTTCTTAAATCAATAAACTTTTAGTGCAGCACCTCTTTGTGTTGTGTTCCTCTTTACTATCCAGTATCCTACAGATCTGATCTCTGTAGTTAGATTTCCTTGCCTCCATAAATTGACATAGTTCTATGAAATTAAGATACAGTTCACAAACAAATGTTTTTCAACTTAGGACATTTTTAAAATTCTCTGACAAGTGCAAGGAAATTGCATAAAAATACATCAAATGCATGGAAAAGAAGCAGAAGGCTTTGTCATTGCAAGTGTTCGTTTGCGTCATTTTTTTAATGCAAATGACAATCTTGGATTTTTTTTACTTATAGATTTCTCTGATAAATAAATGGATAAAACTTCTCCAAGAAACAAATCCTTGGATATCAATCATCACAATAAAATGAGCTTTCTTTCTTCACCTCAAGCAGAAGAGCATCTTCCTATGTATCTCACCTCTGACCTGCTGACTTGACAGTTTTGGCTTTAATGAGCTTTTTTTTACAGGAATATGATCTCAGTGTTCTGTGTTTCCTTAAAATCTGGCTTTCAATAAGAAAAAGAGAATGGAAAAGAACAACTAGAAAAACTCTCTTAATTCAGGGTTGACATTCTGCTATTGTCAGTGTTTTTAAAATTCCAGTATGATCTTGGAGATTAGTCACATTGCTGGGCACCTGCTCAGCATAATTTCAAAAACCTGCCAGTCTGCCTGTAATGCCAGAAACCACTGTGAGTGGCATCATGTAAACTGGAGGTGGCATCAACAATCCATGACCCTACATATGTCACGTTCAGGGTTTACACTTACCACTGTAAGGTCTATGCTTTAAATTGAGATGAGTCCACCTGACATTGCTGCTGTATTTGAGAGCATTTTGCATGCATGGAAACTCCAGGGTGAAAGAAGATGAAAGGGGTTTCCTGAGACACACACATGCAGTTTCTGTGAATCTTTGACATTTGTGTCACAGGATGGATGGATCTCTCCAGGTCTGGGACACGGACATGGTCCATGCTGTGAATCATAACAAGTCTGTGGTTTGAGACTCAACAAAA